GTGTACTGACCAGGGGTGCGTTGCAGGGATGCGTGTACTGACCAGCTTATCTCACTCGGCTCCTCGGCTCCCCTCGGCTCCCCTCGGCTCCCCTCGCCTCCTCTCGGCTCCTCTCGCATCTAAAGCGCCGCACCGAGACGAGCGCCGCCACGCGGCCCCGCAGCTCGGGGAAGAGGGAGAGGGCGGCGGCGGCGTCGACCGCCCCCTTGGAGTGGCCGAGCAGCACGACGCGCGCCTAATCTCGGCTCAATCTCGGCTCAATCTCGTGCGATCTCGACCGCCCCCCCCCGCTTGAGTGGCCGAGCGGCACGACGCGCCTCTGGCTCCCCTCCAGACAGCTCCAGCACCTGGGGGAAGGTTCCGAGAAGCGTCCCCTCCGCCGGACATGGTGCAGTGCGGGAATGACCGGGCGATGCGGGCGGGGTGTGGGTCGATCTCGAGCGATCTCGGTCGATCTGGGTCGATCTCGAGCGATCTCGGTCGATCTGGGTCGATCTCGAGCGATCTCGAGCGATCTCGAGCGATCTCGGAGACCGCCTCGTGCATCAGTCGCGCCGCGTTGACTCTCACGGGCTGGTCGGTGTCGATGCGCGAGCAGGTCAGGGTGAGGCCGAGCCTGTGTCATCATCTCGCGCGATCTCGGGTGAGCTCGGCCGATCTCGCGGTGCGGGAGAGCGGGCACGGCGGCGGCAGCGGGGCCTCTTGAAGTCGGCGCGCAACGTCGCCATGTAGAGCGGGTACCACTTTGTGAGCAGGCCTAGAAGAAGCGAGCTGAAGGGTGCCTCTCACCACGTCGCCATGCAGAGCGGGTACCACTCTCTTTGTGAGGTTGGCCGGGGACGAGGAGGTAGGAGAAGCGGCACATCGCGCGCGCCTGTGGAACAAAGGCCAGCAGTCAGGGACTGAAAAGTGCTGGCCGGTGCGGCGTCCGCATCCCGCGCACCCCCGGCAGCAGCGAGAGGGAGGAGGGCGAGAGGGGCGGCGGCGGCGGCGGCGCGGACGGCAGCGCGAGGCGGAGGAAGGCGGCGGTGAGGTCCTGCGAGGGAGGCTCCCCCCGCAACAGCCACCTGTACCCACGCAACCTCGGGGGGTGACCTCGGGGTGTGATCTCGGGCCATCTCGGGGTGTGATCTCGGGTAATCTCGGGTGATCTCGGGGGTGATCTCGGGGGTGATCTCGCGGCGCCCAATCGGCTGTGATCTCGGGCCATCTCGGGGTGTGATCTCGGGCCAATCTCGCACCCGATCCGGCCGTGGCAGTACGGCTTGAGGTTCGGGTTCGCGCCAACCCACGACTGAAGCTCGACCTGCGCGGAGATACGCCCGAGATCGCACCCGAGATCGCACCCGAGATTCGCCAACCCACTACATTGTAGGGGGAATGGGCGTGTCGTGGGCGTGTCGTGGGCGTGTCGTGGACATGTCGTGGGCGTGTCGTGGGCGTGTCGTGTCGTGGACGTGTCGTGGGCGTGTCGTGGACATGTCGTGGACATGTCGTGGACATGTCGTGGGCGTGTCGTGGGCGTGTCGTGTCGTGGACGTGTCGTGGGCGTGTCGTGGGCGTGTCGTGGGCGTGTCGTGGGCGTGTCGTGGACGTGTCGTGTCGTGGACGTGTCGCGGGCGGTCGCGTGGGAGGTATACGGGCGGTGGGCGGTGGGCGGTGGCGGTGGCGGTGGCGGTTGCGGTGGCGGTCGCGGTGGCGGTGGCGGTGGGCGGTGGCGTGTGCGCCTGCAGCGCCGCGAGCTGCTCCTCCACTTCAGTGCGCAGCTCGTGCGTCGCGCGGGCGACATTGTCGCGGAGCAGCTCGCCAACCTGTCGGGAGGTGTGGGGAGATATGGGGAGATATGGGGAGATATGGGGAGATATGGGGAGATATGGGGAGATATGGGGAGATATGGGGAGATATGGGGAGATATGGGGAGATATGGGGAGATATGGGGTCGCCGACCTGTCGGGAGAGTTGAGAGAGTTGTAGTCGAAGACACACCGGGGGAGGATCGTTTGTGGTGTGTGGTGTGTTGTCGCGGGTCGGCTCGCCAACCTGCTGGGCGAGGGAAGGGTCCGGGAAGCTTCACGCAGTGCGGTGAGGGAAGGGTCCGAGAAGGCAGTGTGGTGAGGGAAGGGTCCGAGAAGGCAGTGCAGCGAGGGAAGGGTCCGAGAAGCTTCACGCAGTGCGGCGAGGGAAGGGTCCGAGAAGCTTCACGCAGTGCGGCGAGGGAAGGGTCCGGGAAGGCAGTGCGGTGAGGGAAGGGTCCGGGAAGGCAGTGCGGTGAGGGAAGGGTCCGGGTAGCTTCACGCAGTGCGGCGAGGGAAGGGTCCGGGAGGCTTCAAGCGAGGTGGGTGGGCGGCTAGTGGTCCTTTGGACAAGCCGCCCGCCTGCCGCACCAGCGAGCCGCCGCGCTGCGCCGTCAGCGAGTTGAGCGTCGACAGCGACCCGTCGAGCACTGCGCCGCTGGTGAGGTCCTGGGACGGGCACAGGGATAGGGACAGAGGCGGCTGAGAGAGCGATCGCCGTCGGAAGGTTCGGGGACAGTTCGGGCGGCCGGTCCTGGGCGCTCGAGGCGCGCCGGTCGAGCGGCAGACCCTCGCGGCTGCTCGAGCCCCACGACGCGCGCCGCTTGCGACGGGACGACGGCGTCGCACACGCCTCTTCCGAGCGCGAGGCTGCCTCCGCCTGCGGACCCGACCGGTCGGCTGGCGAGCGCGGCGAGCGCGCGCGCTGCCTCGACCCGTCCATCGAGACGACGATACCGGCGCGGGCGACTCCCACGGCGGTCAGCAGCAGGCCGAGCGGCACCAGAATCGGCAGCAGCAGCAGCGTCAGAGGCGCAAGGAGCAGCAGCGTCAGAGGCGCCACGATGCACGCGACGCCCGCGGCGGCGAGGCGCATTGAAGGCATCATCAGCGTCTCAAATGCCTTGTCGACTACCTGCTGGGTCGCCTCCTCGAGCGACTCGACCCTGCTGCGCCGACGGCGCCCAGCGGCCTCCCTGGCGGTCGATGGGCCGGCGAAGGTAGACTCTTGCGACAGACGCGTGCTTGACCGGCGGCGACGCTCGCCCAGCAAGGTCTCGGGCGTGCTCCGTCGCGCAATGACCGACTCGCGAGGCGGCGCGCTACGCCGTGAGGACCCGGCTGTGGCGGGGTCCGACGACGGCAAGTTGGCCTTCATGGCCTGTCCGACGACGGCAAGTTGGCCTTCATGGCCTAGCCCAGCTGCATCGAAAGAGAATCTAATGAGGGAAGTGAATACTCGAGTATCCTTCACCGCGTTGCAGATGGCAGTGACACCCTCGTCCTTGAGCTGGTTGCTGCCGAGCTGAACCTCTGTCAGCGACGCGCTGACGCGCAGGTACCCAGCGAGTTCCGTGGCTCCTTCCGCCCCCAGCTCGTTCATCGACAGGTCGAGGCTCTCCAGCGTCACAAACCGCGGCAGCACGGCAGCCAACGCCTTGCTTTCTGCAGGGCCCCACTTGAGCCCGCTGAAGGCAAGAGCCGTCGCCGTGCCTGCAACGCCCTCGAAGAAGCGGCGGTATAGCGCGTCCACCACCTCCACGTCCTCCTTGCCGGTTGTGAACTTCTTCTCCGTCACGAGCAGCCGCCGGGCCTCGTCGGGCTGCAGCGGCGGGTGGCGCCGCGCCGCGCACACGCCCTCGAGCTTCATATGGGAAGGCCAGAGGACGCCGCCGTCGCCGCCGTCGCCGTAAGCAAAACCCATCGCCAGCTCGGTCCGCTTGCCGAGGTCGAGCCGCCGCGTCCCCACCTTCACCCCCGCCGAGACCACCGCCTCCACAAAGCACCAGCCGCTCTCCTCGTAAGACCTCGCAAGGCCGAGCGCCTCCATCTCCTCCGCAAAGCCGGGCGGCAGCTCCGACTGCTGCCAGCACACCGTCTGCTCGTGCCCGTACCAGACGTCCAGCAGCGAGAGGCCCTGCTTGAACAGCTCGTCCTCCGCCGGCGTGCGCGGCTTCTGGAAGAGGCACGCGAAGTCCTGGAAGAAGGCAAAGTTTGTCTCCCCGAGGCCCGCGCTTGCGAAGGCGCCGGCGAGCGGCGAGCTGAGCGCGCCCGTTCCACCTGGACGCTCCGGCCCGCCGTCCAGGTAGAGCCGCGCCACCGCCGCCACGTCTCCAGGTGGAAGCGCTCCGGGTCGGGGTGGTCCTTCGCCAGCCAGCGGTACGAGAGCGCGACGAAGAGAAGGCCCCAGTCCTCACCCAGCGCCTCGACGAGGCGGCGCAGCTCGTCCAGCGGGAAGAAGGCTTCGGGCGGCAGGTCCTGCCGGCGTGGGAGCGGCTTCCCGCTCGCGGCCCACTCGACGAGAAAGCGGCCGCGCAGCGGGGCGATCGCGCCGCACTCGATTGAGGCGAGCAGCGCCTCCGGCCCAAAGTGGGGCGGCCGCTGGGGCGTGGTCGAGATTGCCGCTGCCGTCGCCTCGGCAGCCGTGGCTTCCGTCGTCGCCGCTGCTGGGCAGGAGCTCTGTGCGCTCGCCGGCGTCGCGCCTCCCGGGCTGCCTTCCGCCGCCTTTTGGGCCTCGAGGGATGTTGCTCCTTGGCCGGGGTCCTCTCTGCCGCTCCCCTCGGTGAGTTGAACGCCGTCGGGATCAGCGGCGGGCTGAGGGGAGTGTACGTCCACGATTGTGTCTGCGGCCCCACGGGCGCAGCAGAAGGCAAGGCACGGATGGCAGCGGCGCTGCATCACGCTTGGAAAGGCGGTGGTCGTGTAAGCAAAGATGCCCGCCGGTCGTCGTAAGTTACACGGCTATGCGTGGAGGCGTACGCCTAGGCGTCGGATAGGCGTGTGGGTAGGCGTTTGAGGCGTAAATAGGCGTGGGGAGGCGCGCCTCAAAACGCCTCAAAACGCCTCAAAACGCCTCATCCGCGCCCGGAAGCTGCAACTCTGAACACGCCCCGAAAACGGTCCCCTGCAAGAACTACCAGGGAGAACTCTACAACTGCTTGAACTGCAGGATACGACGGGATCTTCTCCCAGCCGATTACGACGACATCCGCTGTTCCTCATCGGGCACATTCGTGACCGCTACAAGGTACGACAGCTCGGATGGCAAAGGAGCCTGGGGTCAGAACCTGTGGATCGTATGCGACGGCGACCCGGCCCAAGGTCGGGGCGAATGCGCCCCAGTGCCTCCTTAGATTGCCTGAGAGAGTGTGACTTAGCTTGAGAGAGTGTGATGAGAAGTCATGTTATGAGTCTAACGGGACCGTGTGGGGCTAGTTCCATTTCACAGTGGCGCAGCGCGAGTGTGGGACGACGCAGCGGAGGGGATAGACGAGGGAATCGAGGGACCGGAGGGCTTTCGCGACAGCGACGATGACGACGAAGGCAGGGGAGGAGACGGAGGGGCGACACGCAGGAGGAGCGAAATCGCGAACGGCCCGAGCAGAGAGGGCGACGACGGCGGAGCACGAGGGGGCAACGGAAACGCTACCAATGACGCGAACCGGGGCACGGGCGACGGCGGGGACGGGGAGGGCGACAGCGACGTCGAGACGCCTCACCGGGCCATCTCCCCTCCTTTAGGTCGACGAGGATCTGCTCCGTCGAGGCTATCGTCACTGCTCGTCGAAGGCTTCGCAGGACGATGGCTGTATCTCTCGCCTGGAGTACCCGCCGTAGCTCCCCCTCGCTGGTGAGCAGGCGGCAGTGGAGCTCGGCGAGCACCTCCATGTCCGATTCGGCGTGCTCGGCGAACTCCTCGATAGTCTGTTCTTCGTCGTCGGCGAACTCCTCGAGCACCGCAAACATTTCCTCATCAGTCAACGCCCGCGCCCGCTGCGCCGCTGTGCACCCAAAGCTCGTGGTCACGACGGACTCGTTGACGTCGCCCACGTACGCAAAGAGGGCGACGGCCATGTCCGCCCCTGGTCCGAGGCCCGCCCCGCCGTGGCACAGCTTGTCCGCCTCAAAGACGAGGGCGTCGCCCCGCTCGAGCCAGATGGGCTCTTGGTCGAAGATGCGAAACTGCCGTCGGTTCAGCGCTATAATGACGGAGAGGACGTTCCTCCTGTTCGCATCCCTATGCCATGGTTGGTCCTCCGCCTCTGGGAAAGTCGCAATGAGGCTGAGCCCGACTGTGCTGCCGTCCTTCCCCTTCATGCCGACCTGCATGCCCTCGCGATCGACGTGAGGTAGCACCTCCTTGACCATCGCTTCCGCTAGGTCCGCGAGATCCCGCCTCCCCACAAATCGTAGCAGCTTCCTCCCCGACGGGTTCTTGATTCCGGCGATGGAGGCCACCACGCCACTCGCGGCAATCCGCATCGAGGCCGCCCGTCGGCGCAGCGAGAGTACTGCGCACTGCTGGGCAGCGCCCAGAATGCAGGGAAGGCCTTGGCGCTTCTCGCCATCCAGACTGACTCGGCCACCGGCAAGCGAGCCGAGTGTGCGTTCCGAGCACGCGGCCCGGCACTTTCCCACAGGCCCGCCAGCCGCCGCGCAGCTCTGGAGAGGTAGCTGGCGTTGCGCTGCACTGCTTGAAGCTGCTGTTGAGGCGCTGCACTGCTCAAAGCTGCCCCGTGCGCCGCCGCGAGCGCCGCGCCGTGGCCTCGTTCTCTGGAGAGCCCCAGCACCACCCCTCGCGGCCACTCGCGCCGTTGCAGCAGCTCCGACCCCGCCACTCCGGCTCCCGAGCGCGCGGCGAGCAAGAGGAAGAGCACGCGCATGGGCCAAACCCGTTACTCGCGATCCGTTGTCAGACAGAGTTCTTTTGTTTAACAAGCGGGGCGCTGCTGGCTCTCGCGGATCCTGCAGGCTCGACGCCGGGCGAGCGACAGGCGGGCCGACGTACATGCTCATCGCTGACAAGCATCGGCTGGAGAACCAGACCAAGGTGAAGCTGCTGGCGATCCGCGAGACGGAGCTCGAGCTGTACGTGCAGAACTGCCGCCAGGTCGGTTTTGTGGCCGCAATAATCGGAGGGCTCGCCTACTTCAGCTTCCTTTACACGAAGCGCGACTACTACCAGGAGGCCCACTGGTTCGCCCGCGTGTTGTACGTGACTGGGCTCACGTGCACCATGTCGCTCGCGCTGACGATCGTGCTCGGGACGACGACAATCGCGATGCTCGGCCCGGGCCTCGCGCTGCGCGGGCCGGACGGGTCGATGAACACGGCGGTCGACGGCATCCTCCTCGAGTTTGAGCTCGCGTCGCGGCTCTTCAGCCGCTGCGTGCAGGCGATTTCGCCGCCGCCCCTTCCCTGGCTGCTGCACTATCCGCTCTTCTAGCCACCGCCCACCGCTAGCACTATCACACCGAAGCAGTGTCCTCAGATGAGTGAGTGAGGTATCCGGGCGCGGATGCTCAGCCTAGCCGAGATACAGCCGAGGTACAGCCGAGATACAGCCGAGGTGCAGCCGAGGTGCAGCCGAGATACAGCCGAGGTACAGCCGAGGTGACAGCCGAGGTACAGCCGAGGTGACAGCCGAGGTACAGCCGAGGTACAGCCGAGGTGACAGCCGAGGTGTGCCGGCCAGGCGCTGATGCTCACGGCGCTCGCCTACTTTTACTTGCACCACACCGGGTACTGGTCGACCCCGCTCCTGCTGACGGCGCTGCTGTACGGTCTGCCGCGCACTGTCACGCTACCTTCCACTTCGTCGCACGCTAGCACACTGGCACGCCGGCACCCTAGGGCAGCGCGCACTCGGCGTAGCCTCTGCTAGCTCACGCCGGCAAGCGCACGGTGCCGTCTGGCCGGCGGACACTACTCGAGTGGGGGGGCCGCAGCTGAGGCGGGATTGTTTTTCTTTTTTCCCTGCCGCAGGGCTGCACCGCATGATGGCGCGCCGCATCGAGGTGGTCGAGAGCACGCCTCCGCTCGATCTCCGCCAATCTCGGCTAATCTCGGCTGATCTCGCATCGAGGTGGTCGAGAGCACTTTTCCGCTCAAGGCCACCCCTCGCCCGCTCGCCCGCTCGCCCACCTGCACTGGGAGCTGCACTCTGAAGGCAAGGCCTGCTGCTTGCCTGTCCGGGCGGGGGGTCGCGAGGGCTGCCCCGCCCTTTGCCCACCGTTGCCCCACCCCTTCCGGGTGGGGCGGGGTAGGATCCCCCCCTCCCCCGAAGCCCTCTCCCTCCCCCCGGGGGCCGTTCCAGGGCCGGCACCCC